GCTATATTATGGCATCCGTGGTCTTTTATGATCCAGAGTTCAGACAGCCGCCAGCATTCGTCTTTTGTGACGTCTGGAAGCCGATTTTGGTGCCAACCTTGGTCATCATGCAAAGATTGGGAAGTCAAGGCATCATTTTCATTTGTTATAAACAACCCAGCTGGGAGTGCAGCTGCTTAATAAGGGGGAAACGATCAAGCTTCCTTCTACCTGGAAGGCTCTCATTATTCAGCCACCTAGATAGTCTCTCAAAAGAGCAAATAAACAAGCTTCAGCTGAACAAAGAAATAGCCCTGAACCCTGGAAGCTATGGCATCTGAAACAGCTTCCAACGGGGGATACTTTATACACTGATATCAACCCAAAGATCTGCTAAATGAAACTGAAGTAATGAGTTTCCAGGGATATGTAATCTGAGAGTCCTAATTGGCCCACTTTGCCTGAGCTCTTCAGCCAGAGCTGCCTTAAAAAGCCATCCTTTCACATGAATGTCATGGCATCCGCACAAAACAAAAGAGGAGACATCTTCATACAATTACCCAGAACTTGCTACATTGAGCGCAGACCCAGGAGAACAGGTAACAAAGGACACTCTGGCTACACAGTAAAATCCTACCCTTAGCAAGTTTAAATGAGATGATAAATTAGTGAAGCACTTAGAAGGAAAATGGGCTTTTCAATATATTCAACTATATAGTTATGGCAATTGGCAATTGTGAAAACCTTGTTACAGTTTGAACTTGCCTAAGATTAAGGTGAGTTGATATTACGGTAAATGTGTTCTTGTCCATAGCAAATATTATTAATTAATTAATTAATTAATTAATTAAATTTATATACTCTCCTTCATCACAAGATCTCAGGGCGGTTCACAGAATAAAATGCAAGATAAAAACACAAGTAAATAATTAAAACAATAAAAGACACATTAAAAAAGCTCTAGAATATTAAATCAGCCAAAGGCTTGGTTGAAATGGAATGTTGCATTATATATTTCGTAATATATTTTTAGGCCCCAGGCAAACCTCCCTAGGGAGAGCATTCCACAAATGGGGAGCCACTACAGAAAAAGCCTGTCCTTTTGTTGCTGCCCTCATGACCTTTGTATTCCTCCTGCTCCCCCCAAAAAACTAAATAGGATAGTTTGTTTTGTTTGACACAACTGCTTGATCCACGAATTCACAGTCTGAAAAACCAGTCACTTCACACATTAGGTTAAACATAAATTTTATTAGAAGGCAATGTGTCATGTTTGCAGCAATTTTCATTCTCGCCATTAAAAGGTTGCATTAGTCATCCCAGTTTGCACATCTCTCTGTTTGCACACATCCTTCTCAAGTCCAAGGAGTTTGGAGAAACGTGCGGAGGGCAACGTACGGACCTCTTGTCCATGACAAAGGCAGATTCAGGTCCATATGCATTTCACATGTACAGCCATGCCAGGACCCTCAAGGTAACTATATGGGTCAAAAGGTAAAGGACCCCTGGATGGTAAAGTCCAGTCAAAGTCGACTATGGAGTTGTGACTCTCATCTTGCTTCAGGCCAAGGGAGCCAGCGTTTGTCAACAGACAGCTTCCTGGGTCATGTGACCAGCATGACTAAACCACTTCTGGCACAATGGAATACTGTGATGGAAACCAGAGCATGCAAAAACTCCATTTACCTTCCCACCGCAGCAGTACCTACTTATCTACTTGCACTGGTGTACTTTCAAACTGCTAGGTTGGCAGGAGCTGGGACAGAGCAACAGGAGCTCACCCTGTTGCGGGAATTCGAACCGCCAACTTTCCGATCAGCAAGCCCAAGAGGCTCAGTAGTTTAGACGGCAGCATCACCCGCTATATATAAGCCATCTGTTGTTAGGAAATAGGATCAAGCAAGCACTTCGAAGTGTGAGCCAGAAGTTTAGAATTACAGATAAGACATCAGGACCATGGATAGCACACTGAGAAGCTGCATGAAGGGTTGAGGATTGCAATCAGGCTGCCTTTTAAAGTCCCAGTCAGGAGTTACTGAGATCTAGTATATGGCTGTTGACAGTTCATGGACAGTTCAGACTCTGGAACCACATGCTTGAGTGACCCAACCTGGTGGCCTCCTTAGACATCTCCTTCAAGAGCAGTTTCCCAAGACCATACAGTGGTACCTTGGATTACAGACGCTTCAGGTTACAGACTCCACTAACCCCACTAACTGCATTTTGCCAAAGGAAAGTGCAAAGCTGATGGGAAATCAGTCTTACTGCTGCTGGCAATAGGAATCCAGATCAGGGTTTCCCAAACCTGGGTCTCCAGCTGTTTTTGGACTACAACTCCCATCATCCCTAGCTGGCAGGACCAGCGGTCAGGGACGCTGGGAACTGCAGTCCCCCAAACAGCTGGAGACCCAAGTTTGGGAAACCCTGGTATGGATATAGTGGTACCTCGGGTTACATACGCTTCAGGTTACAGACTCCGCTAACCCAGAAATAGTGCTTCAGGTTAAGAACTTTGCTTCAGGATGAGAACAGAAATCGCGTGGTGGAGACGCGACAGCACCAGGAGGCCCCATTAGCTAAAGCAGTACCTCAGGTTAAGAACAGTTTGAGGTTAAGAAGGGACCTCCAGAACGAATTAAGTTCTTAACCCGAGGTACCACTGTATTGTGAACTCCATGAGTCACCCTATTTTTATATTATTATTTTATGCATGCCCTTTTCACTCTAGCCATTTAGTTTCATTATTTTCTTTTTAACTGTGAAAAGGGTTTCTTTTTAACAAAAGAAGTTCAATGCATGGAGCAACAATTCTAAAACTACAAAATGGCAGAGGGTGATATTCGGCCTGTTCTCTACTCTGTAATTTGCTTAGCACAGTAGTGGCCAAAAACTAGCTAACAGAGGTGCAGTGGAGTAGCGTGGGGGGTGCAGGGGGGGCCGGCCGCACGGGGCACAACATCTGGGGGGGCGCGCTCGCACTCGCAGCTCTCTGCCCCTACCTGGCTCACTCACTCTCTCTCACTGCAGTGCTGGCTGTGCGAATCTGATCCGAGCCGCTTGGTCGCCGCCCACTGTAGAGGGGGTGGGTGCCAGGCGTGCGGTGCGGAGAGAGAGCGAGGGACTATCTGGGGGAGGGACAGTGCAGCGGTCGCCCAGTGCAGCGCTGAGCGCGGGAGAGAACCACACCAGACCAGACCAGGCAGCAGCAAGAAGCAGCTGGCAGCGGCGGCAGGTTAGGGGTTAGGGGGCGCAAATTACTTGCCTTGCCCCGGGTGCTGACAACCCACACTACGCCGCTGCAGAGGTGTGTTGCAGATTGAGTGGATCCTCACTACTCTCCCATGGCCTGCTATTCCATTGCTTCCAAGATTTAAGTGCTGTGCTAAATGCTGAATGCTAAAGAGAGAACCTGTGCTGTATATAATATAGAGTAATAGGGAACTGCACAAGAACACTTGCCAGAAAGTCTTGAAGCTGACAGCTTCTCAGTAAAAAACAACAACGAAAAACCTTCATGTAAAATTTGCAATCAATGACTCAATAACTCACATAATATTTTCTGAAAGGAAACATGTTGCCTGCCAGCATTTTGCCCGAGGTTGAAAGGATTTCTTCCAGTCTTTTCAGTTCGGGAAAGCAAAATGATTGACCTAATTCATAGTGATTGGAAAACTGGGAAAAGACAGAAGGAGATCAAAAGAGCTATGTTCAGAGGCACAGCTGCGACGCTGTTGATACAATATAGTTGCAGGGTAGGTTGTTTCATAACCGTGCTAGAAATGTTAATACTGGGAAACGATGTTTGTCATAGAAGTAGGAAGGCGTGGTGATTCTGCTCAGTGTGTGAACTCAGTAAGAATTGAGCTTATTAAGTTTAAACTTAATAAATATTGCAACCCCTGGGAGCTCGTGGCCAGGACATTGTGACCAGGACTTGTAAACAGGGGTGTTTGTGAGGGCGACGGCAAGGGAGCTGCTGCAGTGACCACAACACCTGTGCCATACTTGACTTCCTGCCTGAAATTGTGCAAAGCTGCACCTGTAGCTTCAGATTTGACTTGGGCTGATATTTACTCTAGAGCAGGCATCCCCAAACTCGGCCCTTTACTACATTCTGTATGTTCTTTTCTTTACTACATTCTGTTGTATCAAGAATCCCCTCATTACAGCTTTGCTTGCGTCCCAGACAATTCTTTTTTCCACCGAATTGTTCATGTTTATCTCAAAATAGTCCTTCAAAACTTTTGGGCCTTCTTGGTAATTTCCTGATCTCTAAACAAATTGTCATTCATCTTCCATCTAAAGGATCCAGTTGGTAGTAGTGTCATATCCATCTTTACTGCATTATGGTCAGAGCAGATCTTTGGGCAGATTTCCACTTTTCTGACCTTAGGTGCCAGGCCTCTGGAAATCCATATTTGGTCGATTCTTGTCCAGGTCAGTTGGGCTTCAGAAAAGAATGTTCCTTCTCTACCTAGTGGGTTCTTTGTCCTCCAAATGTCAATCAAATCCATATTGTCAGTCATTTCAAAAAAGTTTTAGGTAGTCTGCCGTCTTTTGTAACATTTTGACTTTGTGACTTGTCCATGTTAGTTGACACGACCCCGTTCATGTCTCCCATCATTATGATGTTGTTGTAATCCAGATATTCCAGCATTGTCCCCTGCAGCTTCTTGTAAAATTCCGATTTCCCTTCGTTAGGTGCATAGATTCCTAATATCAACAGTTTCTCTCCTTGATATTGTATCTCAATGGCCAAAATTCTTCCATGTTCATCTTTAAATAAGAATTTAGGTGACAGGCTCTCTTTTGCATATATCACCACGCCTCTCTTCTTAACTTTGTCCGACGAAACAAATTCCTGGCCCAATCTTTTATTTATTAACACTTTTCTGTGGAGCCTCGTCACATGTGTTTCTTGTAAACAGATAATGTCCAATTGTTCTTTTTGTAATATCTGAAATATTTTCGTCCTATTTTCCGGAATGTTACAACCATTAATGTTCCAACTCAGCAATTGCAGAGACATCCTGGATCTATCTGGTTATTTCTCCAGGGGTGGTGTCTTCTCTGGATCTTCAGGTTCCCCAGGTGCTGGTGTTAATGCTGGCTTTGCCCCAGGCCCAGAAGGTAATTCAATTCCTTTTTGAAGGTCCTCTCCGTATGTAGCCAAAAATTTGTCTCTCTCTTCCAATGTTCTAACTTTGACCTTTCTCCCTTTAAAGGTAAAAGATATTCCTTGGGGAAATTCCCACCTGAATGGAATTGCGTTGCTCCTTAGTAGTTTAGCAAGTTCAGAATAGGCGGCTCTAAGATCCAGCAGTTGTCTTGGAATATCTTTATAAATTTCAATTCTTCTGTCCAAAACCTCCAGTGACTTTCCGTAATGTAGGCCCAAAATCTTATCCCTTTCCTCCTTTGATCTCAATGTAATCAAACAGTCTCTGGGCCTCTCCTTCTTTGTGAATCTTCCAAGTCTGAAAGCCGACACAATTTTAAAATCCTTTTCTTCCAAATTCCAGAACTTGGAAAATTCTTTGGTCAAAAACTCAGTTAAATTTCCTTCTTCTGCCTCTTGTAATGATCTAATCCTCAAATTATTCTCACGATTTCGCAGTTCTATCATGGAAAGATAAGTCTGATGTTCCCCAACTTGTTTGGTGAGTGGTCTTACCTCTTGCTCTAAATTTTCCAATTTTTGTCTAGTATCCTCAGCCAATTTCCGATTTTCTGCTGAGGCCTCCGTTAACTGTCCAATTGCTTGTGTATTCTGTACAACTTGTATGGTTAATTTATTTAGACATTCTGTATTTTTGTCAATCTTTGCTGATTGCGCATCTACTTTCTTGTCCAAAGCTTCCAATTTTTCAAAGATTTTGTCTAGAACAGAAACAGATACTCCTGAGGCCATATCTTCCAATTGTAACTGCTCTGCTTCACCCTCTCCCTCTTTTGCCTGTGGCAAGGCAACTTCTTCAAGTTCTACTTCTGAGGGCAAAGTAGGTACAGATGATCTACGTGTCTGCGAGGCTGAGGTTAGAGTTGTTAAAGTTGTTTGTCTAACTCTCCCTCTTTTCCTTGTGCCACTCATTCCAACGTTGTCTATCAGTCAAGGTCACACTGAGTTTTTCCCATGGGAATAGAAAGGCCCAGAGCAAGCAAACAACAAGGGAATCGAAAGTAAATGTAAATGTAAAGTCACTGTTTTCATCCAATCCTCTAGAGGGAGCTTAAAATGTCTTTCAGAGTCTAATTTAATGTCCAAGAACCTTCAAATATAAATATTTAGCAGAGTTTATAAGTAGTCACTTTGTTACAGACAGTGCTTATTTATCTCCAAAAAGAATGTTTCAAATTTAAAAAGTCTCAATACCCTCAGATTGTTGCAAGTTCCAATATACAGTATCCAAATCTGCAATACTGACAGCTCAATTTCTCAATGCTCAGGCAGCTCCTGACTCTGGGTTTCACCTTCTAATTTGTAATCCAATAAAAGGGGAAAGTCAAGTGCAAGTTAAAATTCCAAGTCTTTAGCTTAAAGTCTTTACTTTAAATTGCAAGTTCAGTAGATGCTTAGATCTGTAAAGTTTAAAATCTCTTCCTTTCAGCCTCCACTCCTCCAACTTAGTTGCTTTTTTCAAGTTCAATGGCTGCGGAAGACGGACTTCCTGTTTCCACGTCTCTCCGCTTTCAGCCAAGTTCAAGCCAATTTAAGGTTTTTCATTTAAAGTCTCTGATTTCAAGTGATTCAGTCTTTACTCACGAGTAAGTTGCTTTTCGTCCGAATCCGTATTTTAGCAGGAAAAAGGATCAGCGCTCACCGGCAGCAGCAGCGCGGCTTCACTCCGCAGACTGTGAAGCAGCTCTCAGCGCCGCAACCCCCCTCCACGCTCCGGAGCCCCTTACGAGGTTCCTTCTGCGTTTGGAGGGTCACTTAAGGCGCCCACCGAGCCTCAAGACCCCAAGCTCTTGCTGCCTGGGGTTTTCCGGAGTGGGTCTCCGCTTCGCCGTAGCGGACGACCCGTTTTCTGCGGAGCCTCCTCTCCCGTTCAGAAGAGGACCGCCATTGCCGTTCGCGCCGCCCCTCGGAAGTCCTGCCAAACCTTAATTGACTCTGTGTGAGTAGCTGCACATACACAGTTTCCCAACAAATTGTAGTCCCAAAACATCTGGAGGGCCGGAGATGCCTGTTCTAGAGCTCCTCCAGCCTGTTCTCTGAAGGCCAGGCTAGATGGGACATCATTGGCATGAATGGAACTCATATGTATGCTTCTCTTAGGTCAATAGAAGCCACAGCACGTGAACAACAGCAAGATGCTTCCAGTAGAGGCTTTCATCCATCAGCGGAAAGTTTACTAAAATGAAGCCACCCTCCGGACATTGGCATCACTGCAACTTACCCGGATAAGGCTGGTGCATCCACACAACCCCAATCTTAGCACCGCCTTGTTCCCCGGCCCCCCAAATCCCATCTAGGTGAGCTGCAGCAATGCTGTTGTCAGGAAGGCAGTTCTGTGGCTCTTCCCTGCCACAGTGTTGCTTCCTTGCCAGTGCTAATAGCAACTTGGGGAGGGGTGGTTTTCATCAGGACTATGGAAGGAGTAACAGGATTACGGGTCCCCCTTGGCTGCTACTTACCTCACAAAAAATGCACAGGAGTTCATTGCGTTCGTACAATGAACATCACATCCAGTTTTGTCGAGAGAATGAGCTATTTGCTCAAGGCTAGTGAGACTGTAGTCCAATACTGTAGGGTTGAGGAGGGGACCATTTTCAACCGAAGGGTTGCATTCTCCCTTGGTCAGCCTTCTGAGAGATGCATGCCAGAGGTGGGCGGGGCCAGAGGCAAAAGTAGGTGGAGCCACATATATTTACACCCCCTACCTCTCCATCCTTCATCCAGGCATGCAAGAGGCATTGTCTTGGGTCCATAGCTATCAACTTTTCCCTTTTCTTGCGAGGAATCCTATTCGGAATAAGGGAATTAAAAAAAGGAAACGTTGACAGCTATGCTTGGGTAACGAACACGTTCCACCCATGAAACAGAGCCCAAGGAGAACATGTAGCAGGGCCAGCGAGAGAGCAAGGAGCCTGGGAAGAAACCCAAGGGCCACATAGAGAGGTCTGGAGGGCCTGAGGGCCTAATTGAAATAATGGGACTTACATCTGAGGGGACATGTGTTTTTACTGAGATGTATAGCTGTGGGACGCGGGTGGCACTGTAGGTTAAACCACAGAGCCTAGGACTTGCCGATCAGAAGGTTGGCGGTTCGAATCTCCACATCGGGGTGAGCTCCCGTTGCTCGGTCCCTGCTCCTGCCAACCTAGCAGTTTGAAAGCACATCAAAGAGCAAGTAGATAAATAGGTACTACTCTGGCGGGAAGGTAAACAGCATTTCCGTGCTCTGCTCTGGTTCAAAACCTGAAGTGTTTGAAATAAAAACAACATCCTTGGCAATACATTCATCTTAATAGCAGCAATTCGGCCTAACAAAGAAAGTTTCAATTTTGACCAACTGTCTAAGTCTCTCTTAATTTCTGCCCAACATTTTTCATAGTTATCCTTAAATAGACTTAGATTTTTTGCTGTTATGTTTACCCCTAGGTATTTTACCTTTTTAACCACATTAAGTTCCGTCTCATTCTGAAACCGTTCTGACTCTGTATCAGTCAAATTTTTCCCCAAAACCTTAGTTTTCTGTTTATTTAATTTAAATCCCGCCACCCGACCAAAATCATTAATCAATTGTAATACTCTTTTCGTACTGGGCTCTGGCTTCTGCAGGGTCAAAACCAGGTCATCTGCAAAAGCTTTTAGTTTATATTGTTTCTGACCAACCTGAATTCCTTCCACCAACCGATCCCCTCTAATCATGTTCAGTAGCACTTCCAGAACCGAAATAAATAACAAAGGGAAATAGGGCAACCTTGTCGTGTCCCTTTTTCAATTTTGAACTCTTCTGTGACCACATTATTAACTATCAGTTTAGCTTTCTGTTCTGAATATATCGCCTCAATCCCATTCTCAAAACCCCGTCCCACTCCCATCTCTTTTAAATTTCCCATCATAAATTTCCAGGAAATATTGTCAAAGGCCTTCTCCGCATCTATGAAAATTAAAACTGCTTTTGTATTTATATCTGTTTGCAGAAGTTCCAAGATGTCAATAATGTTCCTTGTGTTAGCAAACAGATGTCTACCTGGGAGAAAACCGGCCTGGTCCTTATGAATTACTTCATTTAATACTTTTTAAATCTACTTGCCAAAATATCTGCAAATATTTTGTAATCCACATTTAAAAGAGAGATGGGACGGTAGTTCTTCAGTTGTGTCTTTTCAGCTTCTGACTTTGGTATTAATGTGATGAACGCTTCCTTCCACGAATCCGGTGCCCTCTTCCCCTCCATAATTTCATTGCTGACCTCCATCAAGGGTTGTATCAAATAGTCTTTTAATGTCTTATAATACTTGGAGGTCAGCCCATCTGGCCCTGGAGATTTGCCAAGTTGCATGTTCTGAATAGCTTGTTCAATCTCCTGTCGTGTTATTTTAGAGTTCAGGATTGTCCTGTTTTCTTGTGACAATTTAGATAGTCCATTTTTGCCAAAAATTGTTTAATCTCAACTTCGTCTTGCGGCCCTTGGGTGTATAATTTTTAAAATATCTCTGGAAACACTTTCTAATATCCACTGGATTCTGAATGTTTTTTCCATCAACCTCTAAGTTTGTAACCGTGTTTAATCTTTGTCTTCTCTTCAACTGCCAAGCTAGCAGTTTTCCACATTTATTCGCCGACTCAAACGTTTTTGTTTCATTAATTTAACCTTCCATTCAATTTCCTGATTTATCAATTTAGAATATTGTGTTTGATAGAGTTTAATTTCTCTCAGAGTTGGCTGTGACTTTGGATTCGCTCTTAATTTCTTCTCTAATTCTTTTAATTTGTCCAAGATCTTATCTTTTTCTCATTTTGTGTTCTTTTCTTTACTACATTCTGTTGTATCAAGAATCCCCTCATTACAGCTTTGCTTGCGTCCCAGACAATTCTTTTTCCACCGAATTGTTCATGTTTATCTCAAAATAGTCCTTCAAAACTTTTTGGGCCTTCTTGGTAATTTCCTGATCTCTAAACAAATTGTCATTCATCTTCCATCTAAAGGATCCAGTTGGTAGTAGTGTCATATCCATCTTTACTGCATTATGGTCAGAGCAGGTCTTTGGGCAGATTTCCACTTTTCTGACCTTAGGTGCCAGGCCTCTGGAAATCCATATTTGGTCGATTCTTGTCCAGGTCAGTTGGGCTTCAGAAAAGAATGTTCCTTCTCTACCTAGTGGGTTCTTTGTCCTCCAAATGTCAATCAAATCCATATTGTCAGTCATTTCAAAAAAAGATTTAGGTAGTCTGCCGTCTTTTGTAACATTTTGACTTTGTGACTTGTCCATGTTAGTTGACACGACCCCGTTCATGTCTCCCATCATTATGATGTTGTTGTAATCCAGATATTCCAGCATTGTCCCCTGCAGCTTCTTGTAAAATTCCGATTTCCCTTCGTTAGGTGCATAGATTCCTAATATCAACAGTTTCTCTCCTTGATATTGTATCTCAATGGCCAAAATTCTTCCATGTTCATCTTTAAATAAGAATTTAGGTGACAGGCTCTCTTTTGCATATATCACCACGCCTCTCTTCTTAACTTTGTCCGACGAAACAAATTCCTGGCCCAATCTTTTATTTATTAACACTTTTCTGTGGAGCCTCGTCACATGTGTTTCTTGTAAACAGATAATGTCCAATTGTTCTTTTTTAATATATGAAATATTTTCTTCCTTTTTCCGGAATGTTACAACCATTAATGTTCCAACTCAGCAATTGCAGAGACATCCTGGATCTATCTGGTTATTTCTCCAGGGGTGGTGTCTTCTCTGGATCTTCAGGTTCCCCAGGTGCTGGTGTTAATGCTGGCTTTGCCCCAGGCCCAGAAGGTAATTCAATTCCTTTTTGAAGGTCCTCTCCGTATGTAGCCAAAAATTTGTCTCTCTCTTCCAATGTTCTAACTTTGACCTTTCTCCCTTTAAAGGTAAAAGATATTCCTTGGGAATTTCCCACCTGAATGGAATTGCGTTGCTCCTTAGTAGTTTAGCAAGTTCAGAATAGGCGGCTCTAAGATCCAGCAGTTGTCTTGGAATATCTTTATAAATTTCAATTCTTCTGTCCAAAACCTCCAGTGACTTTCCGTAATGTAGGCCCAAAATCTTATCCCTTTCCTCCTTTGATCTCAATGTAATCAAACAGTCTCTGGGCCTCTCCTTCTTTGTGAATCTTCCAAGTCTGAAAGCCGACACAATTTTAAAATCCTTTTCTTCCAAATTCCAGAACTTGGAAAATTCTTTGGTCAAAAACTCAGTTAAATTTCCTTCTTCTGCCTCTTGTAATGATCTAATCCTCAAATTATTCTCACGATTTCGCAGTTCTATCATGGAAAGATAAGTCTGATGTTCCCCAACTTGTTTGGTGAGTGGTCTTACCTCTTGCTCTAAATTTTCCAATTTTTGTCTAGTATCCTCAGCCAATTTCCGATTTTCTGCTGAGGCCTCCGTTAACTGTCCAATTGCTTGTGTATTCTGTACAACTTGTATGGTTAATTTATTTAGACATTCTGTATTTTTGTCAATCTTTGCTGATTGCGCATCTACTTTCTTGTCCAAAGCTTCCAATTTTTCAAAGATTTTGTCTAGAACAGAAACAGATACTCCTGAGGCCATATCTTCCAATTGTAACTGCTCTGCTTCACCCTCTCCCTCTTTTGCCTGTGGCAAGGCAACTTCTTCAAGTTCTACTTCTGAGGGCAAAGTAGGTACAGATGATCTACGTGTCTGCGAGGCTGAGGTTAGAGTTGTTAAAGTTGTTTGTCTAACTCTCCCTCTTTTCCTTGTGCCACTCATTCCAACGTTGTCTATCAGTCAAGGTCACACTGAGTTTTTCCCATGGGAATAGAAAGGCCCAGAGCAAGCAAACAACAAGGGAATCGAAAGTAAATGTAAATGTAAAGTCACTGTTTTCATCCAATCCTCTAGAGGGAGCTTAAAATGTCT